GTGGTCCACCGACTGCGACTGCTTTGGGCCACATCATGCTTCGGTGGCACAGCCTATGAAGTGTAACGGTATGTGGATGGTTCCTGGTGCAGACAGCCCAGTGTCTGGCCAGTGGAGCCAGATGCTTCTCTCTAATCAGTCTGTGTACCAACAGAGTCCCTTCAGCGCTGGTACACCATCTCCACTCACATCTTCTCTCTTTGGTGCAGTACTTTCAGACTAGCTGTTGTTCAGCATATAGCATGTTGGCACCAACTCCAACGTATCTACTGGAAACAAAGATGCAGACACTGAGCTTCACTTCCTGCTGGACTCCTTGTTATAAAAACATCTGCCCTGCCTACCCAGGCTAACACCACACAGATGATGACTTACTTATAAATCATGAGCGCTGCTGAACTTGTTGTCGATGTTAGCAGCTGCAGGTTAACTCTGCGTTCTGCTCTGTTAGGGTTAACTCTAAACCTAACTCTATTATGGCTCCTATTGCCTCTCTACCTTTGACCTGTCATGTGGTGAGGTTTAGGGATGCTCTGGCTGCTCCTGGCAGACCCAGGCCCAGACCACCAGGACCCTGGATGTCCTCCACTCCGTTGGTCTGCGGACATAGACTCTGATTTGAACCAAATAGTTTAAACTTGCTTTTGTCGGTCCAGAGAACTTGTTTCAGTCGTCATTGGTTCAGTTTTTGCCCACTCATATCTCTTGTTCTTGCTCTTTGGATGAAGTCGTGTTTGGTTTGGTGTCTTGCAGGTATACAACCTTCAGACCAGCTTTCCTCACTACACAATAAACCTGATCTAAGCAGATCCCACACTACACAAAGCATCCCGATGCCAAACACTGCAGGACACCCAGAGAGGTGCCCTGCCTCTGCCCATACTGCTCACAGCTGTTCTGGTGGCACCGTATCAGCCAGCACCTCACATGGAACACAGGGCCTGCACACACCAGTACGCCTCGGTCTGGGCTGCAGTCAGGTTGTCCACAAGGCCATGCTGCAACAGTGACTGCTACGTGTGTGTGTGTGTGTATACGAGTGTATCAATGAAAGTTGTAGATAAATTATGCATGTGCTACTTATATGAGTGCTGACAGTGACTGATAGCCCAGGTAGAGTGACAGTCCATGATCCATGAGCATGGAGGCCCTCCATCATCCATCTGACAGACCCCAGTGAGAGGTCGATGTGATCTGCTTGTCACTAAACGTAATGCATAAGCTTTCATTTCAACACGCACACTGGAGGCTCCTGGCTGACAGCGCTGACGGGTCTATGTAGGAACAAATACTAGATTAAACTAGAAACGAGGTTTCCTGCTGAAATTCAGTGAACACTGAAGGTTCACCATGATGTTGTGTAAAATGTAAATGCTGACGTATTACCACTGATGAGAGTAGTCAGCAGACACAGGCAGAACCAGGGACAACACCCAGACAGGCCTGTGAAAGTTCCCTGTGGCTCAGGTGGTAGGGCGGCTCGGTCAATGATCAGAAGGTCGGCGGGTCGATTCCTGTAACCTGTGTCATGGTCGATATGTCCTTCACGTTGACACTTCACCACCTGCCTGGTGTGGATGCGTATGGATGGACTGTTGAGGTGGTGGTCGGAGGGCAGGATGGCAGCCAGGCCTCTGTCAGTCTGCCCCCCAGGGCAGCTGTGGCTACAACCAGAGCTACCACCACCAGGATGGATGTGTGTGGATGAATACCTGACCGTGTTCAGCGTCGTCTAGACGAGCGCTGTATTAATCTGATCAGCTGTGAGTCAGAAACTAAACGTCATGCTGCTGAAGTCTTTCACCATGGACATCAGGACACTGTGCTGAGGATGAAGACATGGTACTGGTCTTAACAGAACCACTGACAGATCAGTTTAGAAATGACTCACATTTGTGTTTGCACCCCCGACGGGAGGAGCTGACTTCACATCGGTCTTTGGGGAACCTGGATTCACACTCACATGCAAACAGACTCAGAGACAGGCTGGAACACACATCCTCAACTATGATAAGTCAAAGCTGAATTTTGTCATTCACAGCAGATAGATGTGGTCTGTAGCTGTAAATGTCTGACCCTAACCCTAACCAGTGTGAATTCCTACTGCCTCGCTAGATCACTGGTTACCTGAAGCGGCTGCAGAAGATGGACTGAGCTCTGCTGACAGCCGCTGACCCAGAGCTGTGTGGTGGTCAGCATGACTGACGGAGAGCTTTTCTGTTCAGTCAAAATGTGACGTCAGATGGATTTACCGGTGAGACCATCCGTATCATTATCGCTGTGGAGCAGAGGGACTGTTCAGCTGATGCTGCCACAGAACAGAGCCACACCGCAGCCAACAGTGAGCGTACATACAGACAGAACCCTGTTCTGTCCCAGAACCCTGCAGAACCCTACAGCTGCTAAGATGTTGTTTTGTTTTTGTTGACTATAGCTAAACTAAAACCAATAAAAAATCAGATGACTACATTTGTGGCATTAGGTCTTGGTGTTAGATATTTTCCCGTTACGTTCCCTCGAAAACAACGTATTTGGTCACATTTCCATTAGACTTATATCTACCAAAACACATGATTGTAGTGTGTGTGTGTGTGTGTGTGTGTGCATGTGTGTGTGTGTGTATGTGTGTGTGTGTGTGTGTGTGCATGTGTGTGTGTGTGCATGTGTGTGTGTGTGTGTATGTGTATGTGTGTGTGTGTGTGACACAGGGCTGACCCTAACCCTTTAGAGTTACAGACTCATTAGAAACCTGAGGCAGCCATGACATACGTGGTCTCTACTTTGGCTCCAGTCTGTGTATTCAGTGCTCACCTGATGGGAGCCACACTTCAGTGGTTAATGTCATGATCACTGTGGATTGTCTTGCTTTGTGTTGGATTTGGACCAACGTCACACCTTAGACGAGGTCCAAAGGGAGCGGTTAGCTTTTCTTCAACCAAGTAATGAGTAATGGTGTCATGATGTTTGAGGCTGATGTCAAAGACTCAGTACGGTGTCACCAACACGGATGAAGGGGGCCAACATACGTCCTCTATAATGTATTTACTGCTCATTCTGATTTATTCTGGTCGTTTTTAAACACAGGAGCAGATCCAAACTCCTGACTGGCTGCAATGAGTTAGTGATGATAATGACAGCAGCGGTTATTTCAGGAGTTTTTATCTTGACGAGTTCAGAAGAAGCCTAGCGCAGCATGTACTGGTGCTGCTGGCTACCTCTGCAGCCACACATGGTAAGATGGTCATAGAAGAATGCAAACCTAAATTGGAAGGGATATGGTTGAGACCAGGCCTCTCTGCCTCTCTCACAGTCACACAGGCAGGGATCAGTTCCAGGCCATGCCTCCAGCAGCACTTTGGGGCATTCACTCAGAGGATTTTCAGCATCTCCTGTTGCCTGGAACAAAGAATTAATAGCAGCCTTGTGCTCCAGCTGCAGCCTGCAACACTGTGTTCTCCTCCAGAGACACATGGATCTGTATTCTAACACCATGTGCACTGGACACACGAAATCACAATTAATCCACAATTATCGGTTCAGCTCGATTTAAAAGATTCTAAGAATCCAGTTATGGTCTGGTTCTGTCAGTCTGAACTGAAAGGGAAGAATGTGAGCCAGTTCCTTGTTTCTGTGCTCTGCTGGTCTGTCTGACCTTTTCTTGAACGTCTTCGATCAATAATGACCATCATAAGCATAATGAGAAACACAAACTATTCCTCTTTTCACATGCAGGTAGACATGGATGAACGACTGAACTGGACAAACATGACTGGTCTCTGTGTGAGTGTCCAAACGGCAACAACAAGAAATATGACAAAATATGTCATTACCGTCACCCTTGAACGATGACGTGTCACCACATCAGTGCTCTCCTGCTGCTGTAGTGCAACGCTTCACTTTGAGAAAGAGGCTTCTGCATAATGTGGAGGATTGTTACTGGTATCACTATAAACTAGATTATATATATATATATATATATATTATATACTAATACTAAATACCACAACATTTAGTGCACAAATATTCTCCTTTAAATGCTTTTAGTTTGGGAGCGTAATGTCACAGTAGACGGTTCAGAATGAAGTCGATCTTTCAGCTCCTGACTGGGCAGGAGCAGCTGAGTAAATAAAAGACAGGTCATGTATTCAGGTCAAAAAGGACGCCTTCCTACATAGATCCAATAACAAAGAGATGCCAATTAAAATTAAGCAAAAAGTCGTTAAGAACTCTGTGATGTTGTGTCATCATCAGAGACCTTGTGGTGTCTGAGGCCACTGTGCTCCATCTTAAAAAGACCTAAAGCTAGAGTTCTACACGTCTATGTACAAATGAACATCCTCTGGCTTCCAGCTCTGCCCAGAGTTCCCTCGTGGCGGGTACATCTCAGAGTACTGGCACACACCATGAGCACAGTCACACTGTAACTACGCTCAGAAAGCCAAGATGCAAGTTTAAGACCATTACAAACAAAACCAAACAATCTAATTAGGTATTATAGTAGAACCAACAGGTGTGTAATGGTTTACTCTATACAGCACACGCGCGAGGTTATTCAGTATCTTTACATATAAATCACACAGATTAATGCTCGTAGTAGCTCCTGCTCTGGGAGCTGCTCATCTGGACCAAAACCACATGTTAGCTTCTTGTATGCCTCACAGCAGCTGACAATAAGGTTGTTTTATTATTCCAGGGAGTCCAAACCTGCAAAGCAGCAGGTGCAGCGCCTCGTGTGAGAGGAGGAAGGCCGGACTTTTGTGGTGGCTCTCTGACCCTAACTGGGAGTGAATGAGTCAAAGCCTGAGAAAGAATCAACACTAAATGAGGAAGGCTTGTATTTGATGTGCTCACTGTAGTAAAATACAGCCTCGACATCCTGGATATACTGGACTGTTTTATGGCTCTGCACTGAGGGCAGAAACCCTCACCTGGACTGCATGCAGAACAATGCAGGTTCTCCACATAGGTATAAGGCAGAAGGTGCAGGTGTCAGTACTCACTATTTATAGGTCTCTGAGCGAACATATTCAAAAACATGGGAAACTCCGAGCTGGAACTGGTCTGCGATGGGAGTGACCCACGGATTGTTCTCAGCTTTGAACACCTGTTTAGGGCCAGTCAGGTCCAGATTACCTGCAAACAGGAAGACGCAGACACACACACACCAGTGAAGTGACACATACAGTCATCAGGTGTCTGTGGTTATGTGTGAACATGTATGATGCAACCTGATCCTATGCACACAGACCTCAGGCCATGCGTGTGGCCACTAACCCGTCAGCTTAAGGGCCTTGCTCAAGGGCACTGCAGCAGTAATGAGGGTGGGGACAGCATCCCACACAGATCTCCTCTGTCTGTACGAAGACTTTTCAGATACAAGTATAAGAAAATGTAATTCAAGGCTTAAGATCCTTTGAAAGGAAAATAAAAGACGCAAGTCTAAGGTGGAAACAGGAGCAGAATATCTTCTAATTTCTCGGCTGATACTGGACCCGGCGAGAGTTCTGTGCAGCGGTGAACACTCCAGTAAATGTGGTTTGTGTCCAGGGGTTAATGGACAACAGTGAGGGGTGTCAACGGTGGAACAACATGAATGCAGACAAGTTTAATGACTTAAATCATTACATTTAAGGGTGAAGCATTAGGGTTACTGGGTTTAGGTTAGGACGAGGGTAAGTAGTGGCAAGTATTGGTTAGTAGGGTAAAACAGGCCAGTTTGTCTGTTTTTCATCTGCTGTCACCAACCCAGCCACTCCCCGACCTCCTCATTCCACCCAAACCCCAACCGTGGAGGCTGACGGCTGCCCTCCCTGAGCCCGGTTCTGTCGGAGGTCTGTGTGTTGTCCTTCCCACTGAAGAGGAGTTTTTGTCAGTTCCTTCCCACTGTGGCCAAGTGTTCACTCAGAGCCTTTCATCTGTTGTTTCTCTGGTTAAACTGTGTCAGGTCTGTGCCTCACATATGTCGTGTATTTATTAATCCTAAAGAACATTTTCGTGCCTTTTATTGCTCAGAAAACACAAGCACACAGAAAAGGAATCTCATGAATAGAACACCATCTGAAGTGGTGGACCAGCCATGCATGAGTGTGTGTGTTTGTGTGTGTGGTCTGTACCCAGTTCAGGAGGCAGAACGGTCAGTCTGTTGCCCTGGATGTGAAGCTCTTTGAGTTGAGCCAACTCCCCGATCTCCTTCGGCAGCGAGATCAGATCGTTATCTCTCAGACTCAACTAAACAGACAAACGAAACAGAAGAGAGACAGAAAACACGTATCACACAAGATCTCACAGTTCCACCATTATGGTTCTAAAAGCACACATTTAGAAGTCAAGGGTTTCTCATCATGGTTATTTACAGTTTATAGCAAAACTGACAACGATAAAACAACATAACACATGGAATGAAGGATTGAAGAAAGTGTACAGAAAGTAAGATATGTCTCTTATTTTAGGTTTCTTTAAGGAGCCAAACAGTTGTTAACTGTAGCAGGTAGTTTTACCCCTTCAGAGTCCAGCTGTGACGGCTGTTCCAGGCTCAGTACAGGACAACCACAATGAGGTGTGTTAACGCTCAGGTCTCTAATATACGTTCCACTTCCGCAAATGTGCGAGGGTCCAAGTGATGCAGTTTTCGCCATCTGCTCAGGTCTGTGAGAGCATACAGCTCAGTATTAGCCTAGCTACACTACAAGAAGGAGACTAGTGAGGGACGCCACCAAGACTCCTATGACTCCTCTGAAGGAGGAACGAGATTCAGCAGCTGAGATGGAAGAGACTGGCAGACAACAAACAGCACCACCCCCACCATGAACCACGGTGGTGGCAGCATCATGATGAAGCACGGTGGTGGCAGCATCATGATGAAGCACGGTGGTGGCAGCATCATTGCTTGTAAGATAGAAGCCAATTTGAAGGCAGCAAAGCATATGGACGTCCTGCAGGACAACCTGATGCAGTCTGTAAGCGAACCACAACTTGGGAAAAGATTTGTTGTCGAGCAAGACAATAAACTGAAGCTCCAGCCAAACAGCACACAAATGGTTTAAAGACAAGAAGGTGAATGCTGTGGGAGTGAACACTTGTTGAGGTTCTGTGAGTGCAGCTGTGCATGTGTGGAGTGGGCAGCTGACTGTGTAAGCGTCCACACCGGGTCTCATTAAGAGCAGCAGCTTTAATGCTACGTATTATAAAGCACCAGCCCACACCTTCTGCTTCAGTCCATAACAAAGGAGTGTTGTACGACAATGCACAACACCGTGAGAGAATTAAACACCCTTATATGGTGTTGAATCTAAACTTTTCACTGGAACTACAAATGACTTAAAAACATTTTTTTTAAAAAAAAGCATTGTTTATCGAACTCTATGTCCTTCTTTTCCTGTTTGTAATCAGGGTCCACAAACTTCACAGTTCATACCATACTCAGCACACTGTTCTCCACCACAGGGTCTGGTTGATAAAAATCTAACAATTCTATACATACAAAGCTAAATGTCTGAGGGTATCCTTTGCTCTGGATGATCCACAGACAGCGCTGAAAGCTTCTGCTTTAAACTATGAAACAGTACTGATGAAAACTACAAAGAACAATAGTGACAAAAGAATATAGCTGCATGTAGGTAGAATCCAAACCTGAAGAGACCTCTGAAGACAGACCTAAGCTGGTTAATAAAAGCACAGTTAAAGGCTACCAAGTAAAGATGTGTTCTGACTCTAATCCAGTACGAGGCTACAGGCTGCACTGCAGGAGGTTGAGTAAACCATAGATTTGTGGCGACAATAGAGAAGATCCTGTCTTCTTGACACTAAGTCCTGGATCTTGACACTAATGAGTCCTTGTTCTACGGCATGATACCAAACATGGGGTAAGCTAGCTAACAAGTGGCCATGCTTCTGTACTTTTAGGCTAACAGCAGGATGTTCAGCTTTAAAACCTTGCTGCAGCGTTCCTGACTAGATGAAGGGAGACGGAGTGATACCAACCTACACAGACTTGGAGCTACCCTTGTTGTGGTCGTACAGAGATTAACTTACTATTTGAAGCTTGGTCAGCTTCCCGATGTCAGCAGGAAGCACCTCGAAATCGTTGTCACTCAAATAAAGAGCTCGAAGAGTCGCTGCAAAACAAACACGTGTTAGTCTCAACACTTGAGCTCTACATGAACTTCTGTGCTTTTGTTGTTTTAGCTGATGGGTCATGTGCAGTCCAGTTACACTAGATTTAAAGGTTTACCATTTCCTTTAATAGAACACAGCAGCAGCAGAACATGTCTCCACACGCTATTAATGCCCGTGGGCGCAGCAGAAATAAACAAGCAGGTGATGCGCTCTGGGCTTTCTCACACCACTGATTTGTTTTGCTACCGATCAGAACCAGCACCAATGACAGAACCTTTTGACACGCTGCATTAAAGTGTTTAAAGCCTCTGTGTTGTTTGGTCAGTGCCAAACACTTGAGGTGACTGATTAAGATGGTGCCATAAATCCTGTATATGAAGCTCTTGTGGACCAGATGGATGACTTAAACAAGACTAAACAGTATATGGACATTAAACATCGTTAAAGGTCTAATTGGACACATTTGTATAAACAAATAGGTTGAAGAAAGAGTTCTTTGCAACAAATCACAGAGAAGCTGTTCTACGATCTCATCAGCAGACGTCCACCTGAGAGCAGATCCAGCACCAGCAAGGATCTGGTCAGGAGAGAACCACCTGGATCAGAGCCATAGAACAGGGTCAGTGTGACAGGTGGGGTGTTGATAGCAGGCTGTAGGGACATCCGGTAACACTTTATAATCAGGACACACTGTTCAGCATTATGTAAGCATCAATAGTGAGTTCAACATTTATAAGACATGATTCCTCACCAGTAGGTAGTTTATAATCAGTTATGAATGACTTACTCTCTATTCATAGGCTCTTCTATACCATCATCATTATTTCATTTTCATACTTTAGAACTGGTGGATTCTGCATTTCTAACCAGAGCATCACATCAGTGGCACAGCAGTCATTTAGGATTCGTCAGTGGTCCACTGGATCATGTAGGAGGTGTCCGTGATGATGACCAAACTGCAGATGGAGTACACGTGTACGTGCTCTACACACTCTCTACTCACACCTGATGTTTTATTAAAACTCACATTTCCTTTCCAGTTCATGTCCTGTAAACCGTTGCCAATGCAGGAAGTTGTGATTTCCAGCGTTTACTCAGAACCTATTAGTCGTTAGCTGAGTGTTGTGCGTGAACTCGTCTACAGTGAGCACGACCTCCGCCTTGGAAAGCATCTACTGAGGTTTAATAAATACCTCAGAGGTCACAAAGGTTTCAGTTCTCCTAACAGACGGAGGAGGGACCACACGTACTGGTATTTATTGCATCTTCCCAGCATACTGTAAGTGTACACCTGTTCTGTTGATGTAAACAAGGCAGCACTCATATACAGTACAGCTCGTGGTGCCGCCCTCGGCCTGACGTCTTGTTTCCACTACGAGCCCACCAGGCGGCCACCGGAGGCTCCAGCAGGACCAGCAACAGCACAAAGCAATGTTTAATTATTATTACAAAGATGTCTTCCTCTAGTCCATGATCACGTGGCTTTCACTGAGCACATCATCTATAGTGCACATGGAGACCTTATAAAACACCTCCCACGGGTTAACTGGAACAACACTGTGCCCAACCAGTTCTGGAGAACTCGTGCATAAAGGCAGACGACTACGCCGGTGACACCAGTGGTTTGGAGAACGCCATCATTTAAACGTTGCTTATTAAGAGGCGGCCAGGAGCAGCTTCTCTGTGTGGTTGTGTGAGACTCACTGAGGTAGAAGAAGTTCCCAGGCAGGGAGTTCTGGGTCAGGTTGTTGTAGGTAAGGTCCAGCACCTCCAGAGCTGGCAGCGACCCAAATCCTCTGGGCAAGCTGCTCAGACGGTTCATCCTGTACGCACAAAGACACGAGCACAGACATTCAGCTGCTTTCAGTTTCACTTTGCTCAGTAACTTTGGACAAAGACGGACAGATTTTTCCAGATGCCAGTTTGAATTGTTCCAGCAACAGCAGACACTGCTGCCAGACTCCCCACCCAGAGCAGCCTGGGATGTAAACTAGCCTCTGTAATGGGCACTGGGGCCTTTTTAATGAAACCAATGACAAAGTGATGCTGCTTGTCTTTTGTTTAGCACTATTAAGGACCCTGCCGTCCTGACCAGCAGTGGAAGTGCAAGTAGACAAACCAAACAGGTGCTTTGTTCAGTGTGAGCGCCACTGATTGGCTGATAACACCTGAGCAAAGAGGTTCCTGGTTCTGGCTGCAGGAAGGCCGGCGGACATGGGCAGTGTGAGTTACTGTCATACAGGACTAACAACAGGGGCGCTCTAGGGCTTCTGTTCCAGCAGGATGATCACATACACATGATAGAATATGCTGTCAGTCACTGTTTAGAAGAGCAGGCTGACAAGTTAACCTCCAGAAACTGAAGCACTCAGCTTCAGAAACATCTACAAGGTGACGTGACTCCTCCATCTTCAGCAGGAAGCAGCAGAGCGCTGTGATGATGGACGCAACACCAGCTGAGCTCATGCACACACGGCTGTAGAAGCCTGATCGGTAACAAGGAAAGCATTTTGTTTTAATTCTGTGTTTGACAAATAAAATGAAGCACTTACAAGGTCCAATCACAGCGATGCCTGTCCACTAGTAAACACACACACACACACACACACACACACACACACACACACACACACACACACACACAGCAGGAAAACAAACACAAGGAAAAGTGAATGCACAGCCTGAATAGGAGTATGAGGCTTAGACTACTCAGAGCATGTTTGCTTGTGGATCAATACCCACCGAGGCTCCCCTCCTAATCCTCGGTCACTGACATCCAGCCTGCGTGAGCCTCCACTCATATCTTAGCAGACATTCATACATCCACACACACTTTCACAGAACGATGGGATGATTATTCAGTATATACTATGAGGTACCCTTTAAGGTAAACGACAGTATACGTACACAGGTCGTGTTCATTTGAGTGTCTGATCAAGACTTACTGGAGACACCTCAGTGGAGTGTGTTTGAGTTGAGCTTTAAGCATGAAGCTCAAGTTGGATCTAACCTGTGCTTAGGACTCATTCTAACACACGTTCAGGACTTATTGGTTTTCTTCTGGTCTTCCAGCCAAACCTCAAAGGTTCAGGATATGCTGCAACCAGTCAAAGCTAAAACAGACGGGCCAAGTTTGGTTTGACTGTAGAGAGACATTACAAAGATGGAAAGCCAACCTGCTGCCTGAGGAACAATATGAACCCTGTGTCTGTGTGTGAAGAGAGCAGGAGCATGATCAGACAGCAGACCAGCCTGAGCTGAGGCCTGCAGCACCAACCAGAGGCCACCTGCCTGTCTGCTGGTCTGCATCAGCACCACCTACGAGTGTCGAGTGCACATACCCGAGGTTAAGGTGCTTCAGCTTCTGAAGACTGCTTATCTGAGTAGGCAGCTCCTCAATCTGGTTGTTGAACATGTTGAGAACTTCCAGGTTCTTCAGCTCAGAGATGTTCGCAGGCACAGCTGGACAGCACCGACATAAAGGAGAGAAATGAAAGCGTTAGAGACAGACACAGCACCTGTCTAAGGTGTTCAGCCACCAGCCACTGACGCTGTACCACCAGCTGGTGTCATGCTCACAGACTGGGTGTTAGCATCCATCAGCTCTGGGGCGGACCAGTACCTCCACTGGTTACTGTGGCCCTGCTTAATCCACGCTGCTATTTGAAGACCACATTTTGCTCTTTCTGTCTCCATTACCATCCACAGCTTTGTTCCTACCTAAAGCAAACGGCCAAAAGTTTGTCCGATTATCGAGCTGACTGTTGGGAAAAGCGAGAGCGGTTAGAAGAGCAGTGAACCGACCAGGACCGGACCTGAATGCTAGCAGGAGGATGAGTGCTGAGGAGGTGACATGGTTAGCTGGACCTGTGTGTCTGAGTCCAAACACGTTTCTATGTTCTGTTCACACATTGCTTCCTCTTCTTGTTTGTTTCTTTTTGTTGTGTTCTTGCAGAGCTGAAGTGTGAAACAGGAATGAAGCGGGAAGCAGAGTGTAGCGCCGCCAAGTGACAGCAGCAGGATGTCACGGCTCCACAGAGGCAGATGATCAGACCAACGCTACGGTTCAGCGAATAACGATCAAAAATTACCAAACAAAAGCAAGTAAATTAAAACAGTGATGAATGAATGAGCCAAGTAACGAACCACCGCAAGATAAGCTGGCTGTTAATCAGACGCTGACAGACTACAGAGCTGAACACCCAGAAGTCCTCCACCTCCCAGCTAAAGCCTCCACCGTGTCCGACAGCACGCTGAACATTTCATATCTATGTTGTGTCAAAGCTACAGATCAGCATTTTAAAACCAGGACTAAGTGGTGAGGACTTCACTTCTCCTCCACTTGACCCTTGATGCTGTGATGCTACACAGGCCTGTTGTCCTTGTGTGCATTTAGCTTTAACTGAACCATGTTAGCATCCAGCACACGCTAGCCCAGGCTCGTCTGTGGTAATACTGTGATACTGCTGACATCCATCGTATGGGACAGAGACCCAGGTCATAACCAGTTGGACGTTCCTCTCTCTGCAAAATGACAACTTGATTAAAGAAGTATCTGTTGGAGAAACTGATTAGGCTAGCAGCTGCTGAACTTTGGATCCTCATCAGTGAGCACACAGTGATTCTTGACCTGGTGTCAGTCTGGAGCGCCCTGGACTCAAAGCGGGCACTCAGCACCAGCCTCGCTCCTTTATTGCAAAATAGAGACATTTGAGTCTTTTCTTTACGTAGTTGAAGGATGTTTTGTTCCATTCAGCTGTTTACCTCGTCAAGACAAAGACAAGGTAGGGCTGAAGTCATCCGGTGAGATTACTGGACAGGTCTGGGTGTCGTCTGCATACGTATGACAAGCAGCCCGAAGGTCTTGGAAAATGTGAAACAGGGAGAGCGTGTACAGACAGCAATTGGTAGAAAAGGAATCAATCTAAGAATCTCATCCCCACTCGAACCCAACCGGTCCAGGCAGATGGACTCCTTCCTTGAGCCTGGTTCTGTCTGATGGTTTTTCCTCTCTTTGGGGGGGTTTGGTTCCTTCCGACTGCTTGCTCAGAGGAAGTCCAAAGGCTGCTCTGGATTGTTGGTTCTCTGTTTAACTCTGTGAGGTCCATAGCTGACTATAAGGCTGTGAGATGACATACGCTGTAAACTGCGCTGTACAAATAAAACTGAATTGAAAAGCAACTCTGAGCCACAATGCAGAAAACACCAGATGTCTCATGGTCGGCTGGTCACGTCTAGGGGTGGGTGGCCTGACCATCCTATGTCTTCAGCCATCTTGTTTTGACATATGATTTGCTTTAAGAGGAGTCTTACAGATCATTTTGCATTTTCTTGATTTCGTGTTTCAGATCATCAAACTAATTCAATTATAGGACAACACAAAATACCGTTTTTAAATAATGATTTCATTTATTGAGGGAAACATTAAGTCCAGCTCCACATTACTGTACGTGAAAAGGTAACTGCCCCCTTAGGTACCAGTCTACCAAATGACCACATTCATGGCAATAGAGTTTAATTCCAGCAGCCACACCCCGGTACGATCACTGCCAGGCTTGTTGGACGTGAACATCACTCAGTAGAACCTGGTGGTTGTGAAGCAGCTGAAGGGTCTCAAAGAGCAGCACATGATGCCACGTTCCACAGAGATTCAAGAACACATGTGACCCAGAGTCACTGACATTTATCAGCCTGGAGGGTTACAAAGCCATCACTGAGGTTCTGGGACTCCAGAGAACCACAGTGAGAGACGTCCTCCACTGATGGAGAAACATGGACCAGTGGTGGACCTTCCCAGGAGTGGCCGGCAACTGAACCTTCTCCAAGAGAAGATCGTGTCCACATCTCATCCAGGAGGTCACAAAAGAACCCAGATGAACATCAACAGAACTTCAGGGGTCACTGGCCTCGGTGACGGTCAGTGGACATGGTTCCACAATCAGGAAGACTCTGAGCAGAAACGGCATCAATGGAAGAGTTACAAGATTCAAACCAGTCCTGACCATAAAGAACATAAAGGCTCATCTGGCATTTGCAAGTAAATATTTGCATGAGCCCCAAGACTTTGGGATAAGATCCTGAGGACTGATGAGTCAAAGGTGGAACTGGTTCTGCTTCACAACGACTGAACTTTCAAAAGAAGTGTGATGGAGAGAATACAAACCATCACTTTCATACCTGGATGTTTCCAGATGATATTTACAGAACGGTTTCCTGCCACCTGGGACACTGGTGGGAATGAAACTCAGTGTTGTGTCCTGAACGACAACAACTCTGGGTTGCAGCATTCACATTCTTTTACGTACTTCAACAAGTCAAGGTCCAAGTCCAGACATCCGAACACCTAAAAAGTGCACGGCATCGTCCTGTGTACTGGAAAAAGGAAGCAGTACTTTGCTTTAAATAATAGATACCAATCCTGACAATGATCATCTGGACGGCACTTGAAAGGATCTAGGCTGATGATTTCTTGTATGACAGTAACGCCCAGTTGACTTAACCTGTTGAGTGTCTACACACTGAGCGTTGGTTAAAACTTCTACGTTTTCTTTGTAAATATGGAGGTCACAGGTATTACCATGGCAGCTCGTGGACAGTAGCAGGGACAGAACTGCAGACCAGGTCTCAGGGCCGGCTGTGGTCTGACAGCAGCAGAAGGATGTGTGTCTGTGAGCATGTCAGTACAAGACTCCCGTTCCCTGTGGGCCACTGAATTGACCTCAATCAATGGAATACCACAAGATCCAGGTGGACAAGCTGCAGTATTTATGAGGTATTCTGTACAATATGGTATATTGATTTCCATATGGGCTCCTCGGCTCTTAGGGGAGCTGCTGGAATATTAGTTTGTATGTTGGTGTGTTTGAAGAAAAAAGCCCTGCAGCCCTGCTTGAAGACAACGACCTCACAAGCACACTGAGTGTTGTGGAGGTGGAGGTGTGGTGGAGGTGTGGTGCACGTTCGGTGCACGTTGCCCTGGACAGCAGCCGCACAAGCATTTCCTTTTCCCCTCTAATGGGGTAGAGGACACTTTCCAAATGAGATATTTTCCTATCTGACATGGTGCGACTGTATTAATAGGATCAATTTGGAAAAGATAGAGAGGAGGAGAAAGAAGGAAACACAGCAGTACTGCTGCTTTCAGAAGCTGCTGGCCGGATGGCACAGCTGCCTGCTGAACTACAGGCTGGTTGGAGCGCACACCTGGAGCGCCTGCAGGTGGGGAACAACAGATCATGTTATCCCCATCTCTGTCTGATAAGGCTATAAATAACATGTAATCTCACATCTCCAGCATCAGATTAGAAAATACAGCAGAAGGTAAACAAGTCACTGGAGCAGCAAGCGCTGACAAAAAGGTGCACCTCACACTTGTTTCTCATCACAACAGAAACCAAACGTCCAGTGATGACTTGGTGCTCGTGGTCTGATGACGTCCTGTCCCCGAGGTTTCTGCTTCAAAGACCAGTGGGTTTGAAATTTTACGTATTGATCATCAGGACATATTAACTCCTGTACAGCCTGCTCATGGCGTCTAAACCATCATGGAAATGTTTCTGAGGACTGAAAATAGATGACAAACTATAGAAGTAAATGACGTGATGTCTCCTGATTACAGAGAAACACGTTCACCACATGCTGAGTAAATCTAATGCATCTGCTTCAACAGATGAACATGTCTGGAGCTCACTCACAGTTCTCTTTGTACTTTGCTTCAAACTCTGCTTCCAAGAAGAGCAGGATGGTGAGAAGTGACCACCCCACATGGTGTGTTCATGGGTCTGTGCTGACCTCTGCTGGTGCACAGCAGCATCACATCACTTCATTGCTATCAGCTGATACTGAAGTTGTCTCGTTCATCAAAACTATGATCACTGGTAATATCAAGCCGAATCAGTGCTACAGGTACGTGAGCTGCCATGGTTCTGACCTGAACACTTTGACTACAGGAGATTTAACTCAGCAGCAGCCTGTAATGTTGCCCAACACTGCCCCGAGCAGCACTGGGCTTTGAGGTGAGAGCACCTGCAGCAGCGAGCAACAAAACCATGTCTGGTCAGATCATCGTCAGATCTGTAGGAACACACGGTAACAATATGAAAGTGATGGAGAACTGCCCACATGGTCATGTCAGGGCATAAAATGGGCAAAATAATGAAATTTGAAAATGTGCCCTTAAACTCCCATAGCACTAATGCTAGTGCACAGACAGGGTCTAAGGCCTCGCTAAAGCCATTCTGAGAGATGAATCTAGCGTGGTTTCTCATGAGGGCCCGTAGCAGACGGTGTCTTTTATAAGAACTGAGTATCGGCCATTTGTAGAGCCTTGTAGGAAGACAAATAAAGACAAGCTCCACATGGCAGACTGTCGGAGTTATTCATGTCTGAAGATGGTCTGAGAGGTCAGTTTGCCAAAACAAAATGGACTAAAATGTCAAAGGGCTGTAGCTTCAAAACTTTTATAGATACAGACCTACTGTTCTGATTTCCTCATGAGTTCGTTATAGGAGCACCTGGGACTGGTTTCAGAGGAACCTGAGGGTGACCTGGGACCCTGTGGCTGATCTGATCTGGAATGAGCCCTCCACGCCTCTCATTATTCGATGCTCTTGTCACAGAGTAGGAGGTCCAACACACCATATTTGTCCATAAAGGTCTCAAAACCAGGAAGATTCTGAGCCACCGGGTATATTCTGTGGTTCACTTGTAGGTTCTCTTGCTGTTTTTTTCTCCACTAAGTTTAGAGACTTGGACCAGGTCTCATCATCTGACAGGTCTGATCGAGGTTTTAATTGTTTGTGGCCAAAATCTAATTTGTTTTTCTCTCAATAACATAGTTGAATGTGTAGGATTCTGAAAAACCCTGTACATGGGTTTGTGTTGGATGCTGTAGATGTGCAGACACTCCTGAACATGACCAGACGTGTTGCTTACACACTAGTTATTAAGGTCCAGGGTTCAAGACTGAACGCACTGTTGCAGTAAAGAGGCGCCGCATGCAGTCATGAGGTTACTTCCCCAGACTGAGGCCACAAAGACGACAGAGGAGTCACTCATCAGGGATGATAGAAGACAGAAATACAGGCACAGTTAAATAAACATGTGAAAGTAACACACCGTGCCTGAGAGCCTAACGGGACTAAACTCCATGACACGTTGAATCACCGCCTGGTGCCTCAACGTTGTGCTTCTCTTAACATGAAAGGGCTAAATGGTCAGAACAGCGTTCACCCTGAGCTCTCTTCATTCCCCCAGTCACACAGATACCTGGACACTGGGAGGCACTGGGAGACAC